AGGTGGATTCACTGACTTGCAGTTACGCATCCGCTACGTCCTTCTTTTTACTACCAACCATGTCCTACGAGTCAAGATTACTGGACACGGGCGCAGCTACTGAAGAGGTAAAATTCACGCTGACACGCGCGACACGAAGCCTTCCCCAACTTCATACAAAATGCTCTCAGGTAACACAACGGTCACATTAAGAGAATAGCGCTGTAGTCGGACCCCAGTCCTGAGAAGAATCGTTGTCGCGTCTGCCATTAATTCCTGAGGCACAACTGTCACCTTTTTATTATATTTTAAACGCCTGCATCTGGTTTTCTTGACTTGGTCTTGATACCTAGCCCAGCTGAGGAAAGAGGAGATGCAGCGCAAGTCTAATATCATTATAAACTAAATCAGACGTAAGTCACCGTCTTTGTCCCACCATGCTGTGGGGTAAACCGTGGACTTCGTCGGATACGACGGTCTGACTGTCGTCTGCAATACACGATCCCAACGTTGCCCTGAGAAGCAGTTCCACTTGCCATGTGGTCTGATGAATGGCCCGTACAGCAAGCGATGTTCTGTACGGACGACTTGAAGAGAAGTACGATGAGACGAATGGACACATCTAGAAATAAATAATATAATACAATTCTTTGCATTCTGTCCTCGAGATCTCTTTCGTCTTTACAGGCAAAGCACGAACAAACAAGCGAAACGACGATGCCTTCCTTCCATTTTGCCGCCAAAACGTACAGGAGATCCTTCGTGTACTACCATTAAAAGTGCACCTGCTTCTTTATGGTGGGGAAGATGAGCGAAATGATCACATTCTTCTTCACCTCTAACTTATTGGTTTAAGTGCAAGTCCAGCGGACTGAAGATGGCATCTGGTGCAGTGGTCAAAGTGACACAAAGCCTTCGTCTAACGTTATAGCGCAAAAAACGATGTAACACAGAAAGAAAAAGGCAAAACAAGTGGGTTGAATCCAAAAATGCCTTTCCTTACACTGAAGTCCCCATAGTTCAAGAGATTGGACAGTTCTAAAATTGGGTGAGCACATTCGGTCTCGACTTACAAAATGCTGTAGTGACAGTCACCCCCACCAATATAAGTACTTTATTGAAAAAAATTAGAATCGGTACAACGTTTCGGCTTCAGGTGCTATCCAAGGTAACGCACTCCATGGACTCATATTTTAACTTGTAGCCAGTGAACTAAATAATGTCGCAGCAACTCAACAAAGCTATTATTCAACCTCATCACTGTGCAATCTTTTAAAATAGTTATCTCAGCTACCTGCACGTGTAACTGAGATCTTTTTCACAAAGTTAGATATTCGCAATAAGTGTGAACATTTTAATGCTCCTTCTTCCACACCGTCCCCACACATAACAACATTTCCTTAAACATACCCCCTTGTGTGTTTGACTCATTACTTTTCGCGCTTGGTTTGTTCGAGTCCGCTTAACCACCGAGACCCTACATTCCCAACTATGTGCCTCCTTCACAGGCCTGACTACCTCCTGTTCCGCTTATTGTTGACTAGTTGACTAAACTATTTATCATCCACGATAGTGTCATTTTTAAAGAATGATGAAATGGAAACGACCTACGCTATAGAGCGGTTTATGAGAGTCCCACGCAGCTGGTATTCGAGCCGCCCACAAAGTTGCTGTGGTGTTCTGGTTGGGGTGCCGACGGTGTCTGAGCCTGCGCCCT